GTAGTGGGAAGGGTTACAGAGGCACATAATGGGCTCAGGGACTGAACCCCACAATTCATTTAACTAAGCAAGTTACAATCTTGATGAGCTAGTTACAAAATTCAGTATAAGTCGTCACATCATTAATGAGTTCGAAATCGACCCATTTTACAGTTTCTAAATTAAGCAACTGACATATGTAGAGCCAGTGTCACAATTCGTATGTTTGTCCTGCACACCGCCCCCCATCCAGTGGGCAGCCGTGGATAGGTTACAGTCACTTAGTTACTACCTACAGTTAGCAAACTGGGGATATTTGGCTAAAATTTCTGGTAGCAGATCATTTTGAATTAAATATTTACACATTGCTGGAACATTGGTTATAGAATTGTCTCTGAATTCACGTATCTTTTCGCACTCCATCGCATAGTGACGGAGGGTGTGCGAATAATTTTGTTGACACAGTTTACATTTGGTCAGGTCTACATCAGCAGATATTGAGAATTCCCAGAGGTACTTGTAATCGAGTCTAAGCCAAGCAGTAGTAACATCTAGAAGTCTGCTGATTTTACTGGATGAACCATAGATGTGTGGCTCCTCTTGCATGCTATTATGATTATAGATGGAATTACTGGTGTCGATTTAACTTTGCCTCAGATTTACAAGATTTTGTTGAAGTTCTTGGTGTACTACTGCTCTCAGATTGCTCATTGACAATCCAAGGTTACACTCAACGTTTCCTTTAAAGGCAGATTCCTTGGCTAACTTATCAGCTCTATCATGCATTCGGAGGCCAACATGAGATGGAGATCACATGAAATGGACTCTGTTACCATCATTATTAATTTTGTTGTATTTGTGTTTAGCTTCGAACACGAGCTTGTTACGGTTGTCTTAAAGAGTTGAGAGCATTTAAGGATGATAGAGTCACTTACAATTAATGTATCAAGTTTAGAGACTTGTACACATTTCAGTGCAAGGAGCAAGGCAAATAGTTCGGTCTGAAGGGTAGAGACCCAGTTGTTTATACAGATTCCCCACTCAAAATATAAGTCATCACCCATTGTCAGGACAACTGCAGGGTCAGCTGCGTCCGTGGGGCGGTGTAGGGAACCATCAGTGTATATGATTTGAGAAAGAGAATGCTCTGTGGAGAGAGCATCAGTATGGCTTAAGGCGTTGAGCTTCGCCTCAAGACGAAGACTGATCTCTAATTTCATTTCTTGGGTGAAAAGGGACGGATTAATATTGGAAAGTTTGTAATATCTCACGGTGAAGGAAAGAGCCGTTGTTGTTTCTCTTGGTACAAATTATAAACCTCATACATTTTAGTTCAGTTCCAGTTTTAGTTATCCATCTGGAACAATGCTGACCTTCAATAAAGACATTCTGGAGGGCTTCTGTGCAAGGGTTAGGATGAGTTAGCCTAAGCATTTTTAAATCAATTTGACAGTTAATTTCAGTAACACGATCAACAACGCTCGGAATATTAAGTTCCTTTCTCATGTTAAGTGTCTTTGTGGTATGAGGGCACCCAAGGATAATCCTCAAGGCTTCGTTCTGCAATTTTTCAAGCCCTCCAAGCTTTCTTTCAGGCATAAAAAATGGCAGAGGTGCAGCATAACCCACTAAAGATCTGATGTATGCAAGGTATATCATTTTGACAATTCTGACATTGGAACCATAGCCTGAGTGATAACCCTGCAACAGCCTTGAGAGCTCGGAGCCTCTTTATATACTGACGACAGAGTCTGAATACAACAGCACCATACAGTGGCACCTCAAGGCCAAGGTATTTGAATCTGTTTACATAGTCAAGCTGGGAGCTATCAGACAGTTGCATCTTGCGAACAGCTCCTCCCTGCCTGGGTGGGCTCCGATTTAGTAGCTCTGTTTTCTCTGCTGAGATGACTAAACCTAGGTCCTGACATGTCTAATACAGAGTTAAGAGTGTTCTGCGTATTAGCATACCCAGTGGTATGTATCATTATATCATCAGCATAGCTAATGATGAGGACGTTGGGTTTGCTCGGTACAGAGTTTAAAAGCGTGTTTATTAAGATATTAAATTAGGTAGGACTGAGGACACCTCCCTGCGGAGTAGCTAGTTCCAAGTCTCTTGTTACACTCCTATGCCCCTGGAAAAATACAGATGACTTCCCTTTAGATAAATAACCCCTGATCCAAGAAAAAAGTCGACCACCAATATTCATTCTTGCAAACTCATTCAAGATAACATTTCTATTTGCAATATCAGTATTATACTTGAGATCCAGGAAGGTGGTATATGACTTTTCAGTGTGCAGGGTAAGAAAGGTGGTGATTTAATGATGCAGCTATAAAACGATACAATTATATAATATAAACGCCCAATGGTTGAGATGTAAATCCATGGTTAACATCATAGATTATCGGATATGTGGAAGACGTTAAACTCATAAGCCAGGAAATCAGATCAGCCAAAAGAAACTACGAAAAATAACTTGCACAAAATATAAATAATTCTCCACAGTCGTTCTATGCCTACATAAGAAGTAAAACTAAACAAAAGACTTGGTAAGACCCTGGAAATATGAAACTAACCAAATCATAATGGACGATTAAAGGGCAGCAAGCACTGAATGAATACTTTACAACAGTGTTTACAATTGAAAGATTAGATTGCACCCTATTACCCACACAAATGTTTGAAGGAGGTGAAGAGAACGAATTAAATGATATACCCCATAACGTGCCACATTACCAGGAAGAGCACTGACAAACTAAAAGACTCAAACACCCCAGGTGTGGAAGCAATTATCCAGAGCTGTAAAGGAACTGGCAGAGGAACTATACCTGCCACTGAAACTCCTTTTCAGAAAATCTCTTTACCACGGGATAGTTCCCTCTAGATTGGAAATATACATATATCACTCCTTCAAGTTCAAGTGCGTTTATTGAGACCATATGTACATATCAAAAAGATAGAGTAGCTTGGGCTATTTCTACCCTCGATTGTCACCCATATTTCGAAAGTAGACAGAAAGCTCAGTAGAAAACTATGTCCAATTAGTTGTCATCACACATCTGCAAGCTCATGAAGAGAATCATAAGGGAAAGAATCATCCACCATCTCACATTGAGCTATCTTGTAATATCAACGCAACATGGGTTTGTTAAAAATAGGTCACATTTTTTTAAACGATAACGAGCTATTGAGACATAGGATACCCAGTAGATGTAGTTCATATGGACTTCGATAATGCTTTTGATAAATGGTACTACATGAAAGACTAACAAGGAAATTACAGGCATTTGGAATTAATAATATAACACTAGAATGAATAAAACAACGGTTAAAATAAAGAAAACAAAGAGTCGTGCTAAATGGGAAGGAATCTGACTGAAGAAATGTGGTGAGTAGGGTACAACAGGGATCCATTTCCGGCCCAATCCTTTTTAAAGTATTCATTAAATAATGAGAGATGAAAATATTACGAACCGCATCATCAGTTTTGCAGATGACACAAAAATTTATGGTGAAGTGGGAAGTGAAAATTATATCGAGGACATAGAAAGAAATCGATAAAAAACTCCACAAATAGTCAGAAGATTGGAAAATATTATTTAATATAACAAATGCAAGACTTTGCATGTGGGGTATAACAATCCAAGTCACAACTACCAAATTATTAACATTACCTTGCAGCAGATTGCTGAAGATAAGGACTTAGGAGTCAAAATCCATCGTTCTGCAAACACAGTGTAACGGTCCCTATTACGTCGTTACATAGTTTTTACATCTTGGTAGAATGTTGTTACAACTTTCTACATTGTTGTTACAACTTGTTAGGTGTTACAACTTGTTCGAACATTGCAGCAACATGGTAGTTTCGTCGTGTGTTTGGCAAGATATAAACCCATGGAATCGTGTACCCACTGAAGTTGTAAATGACAAACCTGTTTAATTTTTAAATTCAGCAAGAAAAAATCATCAGGACAAATAGGGGAAAACTTTGACAAGCCGTCGGCTCGCTATGCTCGTTGAGACCACTAGAGTGTTAGTTGCTCTTAGGCATATTCAGGTAAACGACTTGTGTTGCACAGAGTATAATCCAAGAAAATTAATAGGAGCTAGTGTGGCAAGGTGTAGACTGGCGTTGGGAGGGTGATGCTAAGGGGAACACTTAGGAGGGGTTCAATAGGAGCTAGTATAGCAGCGTGTTAACTGGCGTTGGGAGGGTGATGCTAAGGGGAACGCTTAGGAGGGGTTCAGTAGGAGCTAGAATAGCAGCGTGTTAACTGGCGTTGGGAGGGTGACGCTAAGGGGAACGCTTAGGAGGGGTTCAATAGGAGCTAGCGTGGCAGGGTGTAGACAGGCGTTGGGACGGTGATGCTAGGGGAAACACTTAGTAGTTCATACTCTCACACCACCGAATACCACCTTGTTGATAGGCAGTATAATAAACATTTTTCACTGCTCAGACGTGTGACTCAGTATTAGTGCCACAAATGTCTGATTGTGTGAATGACCGATTATGCGTGCTTTTAGCACCAGTTATGAAGTATTAATGAATCAATGGAGTTGCTCAGTAAGAATGACTAAATTCAAGTGATTCAAAGTGAGTTACTCAGATTGAGTGATTCCATGAGGGTGACTCACTATGAACAACTATATAGGAGTGACTTTGTATGATTCAATATAAATGAATCAGTGTGTCTTATTATAAGTGACACAATGAAAGTGACTATATCACGGAGTCAATGAGACTCAGTATGAGTGCCTCAGGATGAGTGAGTCAAAACAAGTGACTCAGTTTTCGTGATTCAGCACGAGTCAAACAAAATGCAGTGCGGGGCCTGGACTCAATCACGAAGAATTTATCCGTGATGTGGCCTTATTCTACATACTAATGATTAACATACTTGGTTCTGGAGAGTTTTATGTAGCTGCTGGACATCACCCACAATATGTAGGTGATGTTCCTTCCTTCACCTGATAAAATGTTGAGGTATTTTATGAGTTGTGTTCTCTCCCACAGGGAGGGACGGCGGGTGTCGGCCAGGTGCGACATGACTACTGACGGAGGTGAGTAATCTCTCCCACAGGGAGGGGCAGCTGGTGTCTGCTTGGTGTGACATGACTACTGACGGAGGTGAGTAATCTTTCCCACAGGGAGGGGCAGCTGGTGTCAGCTTGGTGTGACATGACTACTGACGGAGGTGAGTAATCTCTCCCACAGGGAGGGACGGCGGTGTCTGCCTGGAGTGACATGACGACTGACGGACATAAGTTGTCTCTCCTGCTGCAGTTGTAATGGTGGTATTATTAGTAATAGAGATGGTCATAGATACAACTTTATGGAAGTTTTTGTAGAAAAAACTTCCTTCCAGTAAGTGAAATCAATTAACCACAATATGGAACTAATAAATTAAAATAACCTTGATGATTGAAATAATCTTATTGAACAACTTCGTCCGGTTTTAGATAACCATTACCGTGTAGAGTGCAATATGTTGTGTATCCGGTAACAATTAGCGTGTAGAGTGCAATATTTTCTGTATTCAGCAACCATTACCGTGTTGAATCCAATATGTTCTGTATCCGGCAACCATTAGCGTATAGAGTGCAATTTGTTCTGTATCCGGCAACCATTACCGTGTAGAGTAATATATGTTCTGTATCTTGATTCGCTGCTCTGTCACCAAAGGGAACAGACGTCAGGCTTGGCTGCCAGTCGTCGTTTGACGTTGCTGAGTGGTGGTGCACTGTTGGAGGTGTTTCTGCTGCAGTTGATTGGCCCATTGTGGAGATTGCTCTCAGGATGTGCTCCGTGTCGAAGTCTCCGGTCTCCTGGGACTGGAGAAGATATCGCCTACCCGTGTGGCGGTGTCGCTTGCCATCGCTTGTTTACCAGGAGTTTGTGGCACGCTGGGATGCACGATCGCTTTCTCTTCCTGCTTCGGCTGTGACTGTGAAGATCTCGGATCCCTGGGTTGACTTTTGTGAGTGTCCACGGTGTGCCGGTGACCTTCCCTGAGGCGGAGCTTATGTTGTTCTTTACGCGGTTTGGTGCGGTGGTGAAGCACCGGTTCACCACTTTGAATGCAGGCCAGCTGAAGGGGATTCATCTGGGGTTCTCATACGCTCATCATGCGGGTCACAAACCCTATTCCTTCCAAGGATTCGTTTTGTGGGCTCTCTCTGCAGATATTTTATCAAGGTCAGACGCACCTGTTTCTGGTGTGCTGCTGAAGGCCATGTGGCGGCCGGATGCGATGCTCCTCGTGCTGAGGCCCCCTTCTGTATTCCTTGGAGGATGATTTTACCTACTTGTCTGTGCGTGGGGATTCCCCGGTGGGTCCTCGCTCTATGGAGGTGCCTGGTGTGGTTCCTGCGGTGGTTGTGGCTGTCGCTCTGTCTGGCCCTGATCTGACTGTCTTACCGGCCCCTAAGTCTGCGGACCTAGGGGCCCCCTGATTCGCGCCTTCGACGTTCGGTGGATGCGGAGGTGCACCGGACTCTGGATGCTTTCGTGGTTGCATTGGATGGTGCTGTAGGGGTGGTGCCTGCGCCTCCTGCTAAAGGACGTATCCTTCCCGGGGCTATCAGGGTGGTGGTGTGTGTGTGTGGCTCCGCCCCCGTCCTCTGCTTCGTCGCCTCTGGTGATTTCTTCGCTAACACGTGCCTTTCCTCCTCTGCCGAATCCGATGCCCTCGCTGGATCCTTCGCATGTGCTGGTGTCTAACCATTCGCCTGCTGTGTCTGTTCCTTCTCCGGATCCGGTCTCCTTGGTGGGTGGTGGTTTTCTGCCCCCGCGTCGTTGAGGCTGCCGCTCTGCGTGGTCATGCTGCCCCGATTTTGGGGCCGCCTGCCGACGGTTCTTCTTGGGCACCGCTTGCAGGGGGATGACAGTTCCGACGATCAACGGCCTGTTACTAAACGCTCTCGTATGGCTCGGGATGTCGCCTCGCCGGACGTGGGCTGAGGAGCGTGACGCTATGGATGATGATGCTGTGGGTGGCGTTGTGCTGCCTTCTGTGTCGGACCCTGGGCCCCCTGCTGGTTGCTCTTCTCAGTGGGTGGTTGCCCCTGGTGACCGCGACCTCGTAGTGGTGTTGTCAAAGGATGTGCGACGGGGAGCCACTGCTCCTGTTCCGATTGGCGGGGGCCCTGGGGCGTCTGATAGTCCACCCTTCGCGGGGCTCTGTGCGACGCCCGGCGTGGGACCTAGTGCACACCCTGGTGGGCGGCCCGATGTACAGCCCAGTGTCCTTTTAAGTGCACGGCCCTGTGACCGAGCCCCTAGCAGGAAACCCTTCCCTTTCGTCCTCCCGTCCGGAGAGGTGTTTGATGCTACACCTATGAGTTTTGAGTGTGATGACTTGGTGCGTCCTGTTCCATAGCCCCCTTCTACCATCTGGGTTCCGCGGGCGCATTGTTTTATCCTTGGAGTGCCGGATTTAATGCCTCGGCCCTCGTGAGGCTCCTGGACGTCCGATTACTGAAGGCGACCTGGCTGTTTGGGATGCTTACTGCTTTCGATTTCCGGCTCGGGAGTACCCATATAAGTATGAGTGATCCGTGTGGTTGGTTCTTGTCTGTGTTGTGCGTGTTGTTTCCCCGGTGCCTGCGTGCACGGGTGGGTGTCCTTGTCTGTGCGTGTGTGTGTGGGGTGGGTGTTGGTTCCTGGCTCCTGTGTGGACCTGTTCTGATATGTTTGCATATTATTTTGTGCTTTTGCCTCTGTTCTGTATTTGTGTTTGTGTTGTCGATGTGTGCGTTTGTGGGTGTTTGATGTTCTTTATTACCTGTTCTTGCACACGCCCTGTGTGTTGGGTTTGGCGAGCGTGTTGGTGTGCGTTGGTGTGGTTGTGGGTTGTGTGTGTTGCTGTTCCATGTGTTTGTTGCATGGATTATGTGTGTGTGTGTTTCTTTATTTTTCCTTGTTATTACTTTATTCTTTGTACATATGTTATGCTATTTATGTTCTTTGTGTACTTTGGGTTTACTATTCATTTGTTGTTGATGTCCTCATTTGTGTCCGGTTCTGCTCCTCTGTGTGCGGGGTCGGACTGCTCGAGCTTGTATTCTGTTTTCCTGCCCTTTCTGTTCTAGGGGTGTTCTAGGGGTGCTTTATGTTCATTTTATGTAAAATTTTTCTTGTACATTTTTATTCTTGTACTTATGTCATATCTTTGTTGTGTACTGTATGCATTCTCTGTCCCATGATGTTCGTGGGTTTGTCTGCTTGTGTCCTGTGTACTTTATTGTGCCCTCTTGTGTGTATATTATGTCTGTTTCATGGTGTTTGCTTTCTTGTTTCATGTAGGCACGATTGTTTATATTCATATGTTGTTTTGCACTTGTTGACTGTTTGTACTTTGGTTTTTTATATATCAATAAAAAAATATGTTCTGTATCCGGCACCCATTAACGTGTTGAATGCAATATGTTCTGTATTCGGCAACCATTACCGTGTTGAATGCAATATGTTCTGTATCCGACAACCATTAGCGTTTAGAGTGCATTATGTTCTGTATCCAGCAACCATTACCGTGCATAAGAACATAAGAATGAATGTAACTGCAGAAGGGCAATTAACCCATTCGAGGCAGTTCCTATTTATATCCACCCAATCTCATTCATTTGATGTGATTGTTACCGCCGGAGGCGGATAGTTTATTGTGCAGCCCATACTCATTTAGTGAGCGGAAGTGCAAAAAACATTACAGAGGGCACAAAGGGTCTTTATCAGACCTCAACCGAGATTATTATATAAACAATTTCATCTATCATTCACACCTTATAATTACAATGTCAGCTAGTTACAGAGAATGTTCTTTTTCAAGAGCTATATATTTACAGTAAGTCATAATACATTAATGGAGGTCTTATCACTAATGCATAATTGTTTGAGCAATGGAGATATTACAGAGTCATAGGAGAGCTGCTGTTTATTATTAGTCTTCACAATGGACTACTTGTTTCATAATCTCATATGTTGTTTATCTACTGGGAGCGAAATATGGATACAGTGCAAGGATTTCAGGTATTTTGTCCTTGGTAATAAGATAAGTTGCCATATCATACAACGTGAGCTTAGATATATCTCTAAATGGCTCAATTTTACAATAATCCAAAATATAGTGTTCGAGTGTGTGTCCCTGTCTTTGTCCACACACTTTACTTCATCTAGATCCCTATACAAGCTGAACTGACAGAGATACTTGTATCCAAGTCTTATTCGAACTATGACAACGTCTGTTAGTCTGCTTGTTTTGTAAATTAACCCATACACATGTCTTACTTCCAATATTTCATTGTGATAAATAATGGGTCTGCTAGTTCCAGTTTTCACTATTCAACCTACTTTAAATTCATCCAGGAGTTCTCGTCTAATGACACTTTTAAGGGACCTATTTGATAACTCAAGATTCCGTTCAATACTTTCTTTATTTATTGCAACCTTAGCAAGGGCGTCAACTTTATCATGTTCCTGAAGGCTAATGTGAGAAGGAATCCACAGCATTTTTATATTTACCCCCTTGTTAAGTATTCTTATATATCTCTGTCTGGCTTCTGAGACACGCACGTTATTACTTGATTGCAAACTATTTATTGCTAGTAGTGAGGAAAGGGAGTCGGAAATAATGAAAATGTCTACTTTTTTGTTGTCAATAATTTCGGGCGCTACCAACTCAGCTTGAATTGTGGATACCCAGTTACTAATTTTTATATTCCTTTGAATTGTGCTGCCATCGGGCTGATGAGCAATAACAGCACTTCCTGCCCTCCCTGTAACTTTAATGAGTGATCCGTCATTGAATATAGTCTGTGTAATGTTGTTTTTAGTTTGTATATTGTGAATGTGTTCTAGGGTGTTTAATTTAGCAGCAAGCTGAGCATGAGGGTTGTTTGTAATTAGTTTCTTGGTGGGGTGTGCAGGGGGTCAGGATGTCAAAAGGTACTATCTGCCAAGATACCTTGAGGTGATTCCGGGGCTTAGTGACCCGGCGGCTCGGTCGTCGACCAGGCCTCCTCGTTGCTGGACTGGTCAACCAAGCTGTTGGACGCGGCTGCTCGCA